GCATATTGTGGAGCTAAATCCATGTGCTTGTGCCATATGTGCTGTAACACTGCAGGAAATTTCACATGTAACCCTGACTAACTCTTCCAAAAAGTTCAGGTACACAATATTATTCTACTGCTGCTAGTACTTAGTATTTATATTTCAGTGGTGCTCGGAGGCCTCTATCAGTTCAGGGTCTCATGAGAGTGCCGTTATTCTGGCCCACAGTAAATAACGGTAGGCTCCCACAGCCATTAAAAATCATTGTTGTGAGTATGCAGCCTTTTACAAACGCATACATATGGAAGGGCAATCAGAGCATGGGTGCTGAAGTCAGCGGGAGCCTTTTCTTGTATTTCTGTGGACTTTGCACCATTTCCCTTGTGGAATATGATTTCTACTAAGTATCTGCCACAACCGTTGTTACATCCTAACATGCGACAATGAAAAAGAGCTTTATATCTTTATCGGCATCACTCTTTCCTGAAAACAGCTTTGCTCCTGCCATTGCTACTGCTTAATTTTCTTTGGGGAGGGCTCGGGACTTGTCTACTGACAAACACTTGGGATAAGTACAGACATTCAAAAAGCCCGAGGCAGAATAGATCCAATCTACACGACTTTCTCTAAGCTCTGTAGATTGAATGCGAGCGGGACTCGTGTTCACCCTTCAGTTGGGGGAGGCAGGCATTTGCCTGCAGTGGCTGAGGCCAGAAGGTGGGAGGCGCTCTCACACGCCACCCAGCTTTCCAGACATTGCTGAGGGCAGCCGAGCCTAGCTGAGTGGGAGCTATCTGTGATTGGCTGTCCAGCAGATGCCCACCCCATGGCTCACTGCCTCCTAGTAGTGGTAGGAGGTGAATGGAGCCCCACACCACAGGCCCAGACTACCCCCCAAAAAATGGGGCCTGCCCAGCTAGGGGGGGCTGTGTGATGGAGGCCTTTCCCCCACTGCTGTCCCCACCCAGGGTCACTGTCTCTGAGTGGTGGGGGGGAAGGGGGAATATGCAGCCTAGCTGGCCAGCTGGTTAGCCAGCCCAGCTGGTAGGCACAGTTGAAAACCCCCACTGTGTGGACCTCCCTAGCTGGGCAGACCCCAGCTTGTGGTGGGGGGTGTGCAGTATTATTTGATCATAAAGCCAGGAAAAATGTGACTGCTGTCTGTACTGTACGGTAGACAAAGCCTGCGTGTGTCAGCGTACCACTGATTCAATGCATCTCTTTTATATGGGTGTTAACCAAGTCAGTCTATTTTTAAAACTAACTTCTATAGGTATGTTTATGCTACATGCAAGCAGCACTGCAGCTCACATGGACATACCTGAGCTAGCTTTATAATAGCTAGCTTACGTGTCCAGGTTGTAGCTGTATTGGTCTAGAGGAAAAAGCAATTGGGACTCGTGGTAGAGGTGATAGCTTTTATTAGACAAACAAGAGTTTGCAAAAAAAAAATCTTTAATTGCAAGCTTTCAGGCACAAACACCTTTCATCCGCCATTGGAGAAAAGATTGTAAAAGTTCTCTGGGGTCATGAGAAATGAATGTTTGTATTTCATAGGATTGCACAGAGGAGTCGATAGATGGAATACTCCTCTGGGCAGGCAGTTCTTACTTGGTAAGGTGTCTCTCAGCTCTCTTGTGAGGCTCTGTGATGATACAAATTACCTTGAACAAAGGCAGGAGCAGCATCTCAGGTTTCAGGTGGTCAAAGTTGCTTCTTGGGAAATTATGAAGAGTTAATTTTAAAAATCGGCTAAAATGTGATACTTTCCATGTGTCAGGTATCCAGGTTGTAGCTGTATTTGTCTAGAGTAGAGGTTCTCAAACTGTGGTCTGCAGACCACAACTGGTCCACAAGCTCCATTCAGGTGGTCCGCAGAAAGGTGACCTAAGGCTAAAGCTGACAAACATTACACCTGACTTCCCAGAACTTTGCTCAAGAAAACAAGTCCATCGCATTAGAAAGGTAAGACTAATATTAAAACATGAGTTGATTTGTAGAACAACCAAAGTTTATTAAGTGGTCTACTAGACCTTCAGCAATTTTCAAGTGGCCCACGAAAAAATAAAGTTTGAAAACCTCTGGTCTAGAGGAAAAAGCAATCGGGGCTCGTGGTAGAGATGATTATCTTTTATTAGACCAACAAGGTTTTTGCAAAAAAAAAATTCTAATCCTATGAAATATTCTTTTCTACCCAGAACTTTTACAATCTTTTCTCTGATGCCTGATGAAGGGTGTTTGTGCCTGAAATCTTGCAAGTAAAGAAATTTTTTTGCAAAAATCTTGTTGGTCTAATAAAAGATATCACCTCTACCACGTGCCCTGTTTGCTTGAATACTGTTGGTAGCTTAGCCATGGGTGGCACTGAGAGTCCTGCACAACCTACCAAGCAACTGTATATCCAGAGGTAGCTAGTCTGTGCTGAGCTCCATGAGCCTGTGGCTACATTGCAAGCAGGACCTGAGCTAGCTAGTCTAAATCCCTCACTAACTGCAGTCACTGCAGTGTAAACAACCCTGTTGCACTTAAAAACAGATTTTTAAACCTAGCACTAAGAATTGACACAACACTCAGTTGATTAATAACAGAAAGGCTTGCTTTAATAATTACCACCAAGCTACAAAACTAAGTGACAGAAAAACACTCTTTTTCAGTATAAAATCAGCTATTGCAGAAAGTCTCAGTACATATTTCGCTGCAGTAGTGTTTTCCCACCAATGCAGGCAGGGAAGCAGCCTCTGCTCATGGGCTCTGTGCAGTATGGCTTCTTCATCTTTCTTGGACTGCACACCTTGCTGGCAGTTCTGTCTTGCTTCTTATACTATTTAATTGTATCGCTTTAAAGCATTTTTCCTTGATGGCTGGACAGTTAAAGTTCAAACAAAACAGGGAGCAAAAGGGTGACCATTATATTACAAATGTTAAATTGCCTGGCTCCTGTTTCTGGATTTGTTTAGGTGTGAAGACTTGTGTTTCTTGTAGCCCTGAAGTTTTTGGTCAATTAAATGTGATGAGACTTGAGTGGTCAAACAGATTGCTTGGAGGCATTGGTTACTGGACCTGTCTTTGGGTATTTGTTTATCAATGGGGCAAATATGCAATAGTTTGTACCAGTGATGGTCTGTTTACAAAACTCCAGACATATATTGAATGATAGAGACATTTTTAACACTTTTGATATTGGATGCCTGTTTTGAAAAATGTGAGGTTATTGCGTACAGGACATTTTTCCTGTATTCAGTGCACCTTTTACAGGTTTTGCTTGAAACGTATATTTAGTCCTCCTTCTTCTTTAGTTGCTAGTTCAATTGAAATGTATATGTAGTTTCCTTACCTTCTTTAGTTACACTGGGTTAGCCTTTTTTGCTGGCTTTCTTAGCTTGGGGATGCACATGATGAGTGTGTCAGGTCTCTGCCAACAATTTTAGCCATCACATTATTTTATAGTATGAGTATGGTGTTGGGTACTGCAGGCTCCTCTCTTGCATCTAATGGGTTGCAAGCCATTAGTGGAGTTTGATATTTTTTGTGACAGACTTGTTACCACAACCCAGTCTTGCCCTATTCACTGTCTTGCATTTTTGTGCAAGAGACTCTGTCCAAGCTTTCATAGCCAGCAACCCTTTCCACAAGGCATGAATCCAGGGTGTCCTTCAAAAGACAGAACAAGGTTCCTTCACCATAATTGTCACATTCACATTGATTTAAAGAACTACTGTATGCATTGCCTGAGTCCTCCCCGCTGCATGCTATTCTGGAGGCAAACTACAAACATGGCCAGGTTTTCACTGGAATGAGACATACCAATATGAGTTATAATGTCTTCTGTTGCTGTTATAAAATGAGCAGGATAAACTTTCCAAGGGGTATCGGTACTGATGTGTTGTTGCATACATTCCTCCCCAGCTGGACTTTTACTACAATAGTATACTATTGCAACACTGGCTACCTTACAGGAGATAATCAGGCCTTTCTGTGAATAGTTTAGTGCAGTGCTGCTCAGCCCGTGGTCCACAGGACTGTGTCATCTATTCCGCAGAACTTCCCCTGGGTCTGGAAACGTGGTGGTGGAGTAGCAGTAGCAGTATTAATTGCCATGGCTTCCAGACCCGCAGCAATTAAAGTTGCTGCCACTCCCAAATTACTAAATTTCCAGACTGGCAGAGAGCCCAGCAGTTTGGATAACATAGTCCCATGTGCTAGATGGTGCCATTCTTCAGGATTGCTCTGTGGCTAGATCCGATGTGCAGGGCCAGATCAGTGAATGGGGTTGCTCCATGGCCGGATGTAGTATGCAGAGTCATGTCAATGCACTGGTTTGCATCTGTGTCCCATCCCTGGGCCGACCCCCAGGCTGGATCCAGCCTACAGACTGTATAGCCAGAAGGTTGAGCACCACTGCTTTAGTGCCAGGAAAAGATTAGTGGGCTAGGTGAAGTACTCATCTACTCTTGTTTGGTAGTTACTTATGTTCTGCTGCATGCTTTTGTAGACCTAAAGAACTGTTTCTATATCTCATCTCCTAACATGGGAAATATGGTTCTGCAAAGCTTCTCTTTCCAACCTAATGATAGACTACAACTACTTAGCATGCATGTACAAGTGGAGCTCTTGTCTTCCAAAACTTGGCTCCTCCTCTAACTAGTTTTCTTGGACAGGAGGTAGAACTAAAACTCTCATTTGTTCAGAGCAAATTTTGGCATTATTTTCTAAAGAGTATCGCATGGTGGTAGAGGACAGTCCTCTTCTGCAATGGCTGTGATACAGGAGGATCTCTCTGAGAACTGTAGGGTTAGCAGCACTCCACAGAAAAATGGACACAGAAAAGTTTTTTTGAATAAGCCTAACCCTTACATAGGGTAATCATTAGGCTGTGGTGTTATATCCCATGTAGAAAAGCAAATGCTGTAATGGAGGGAAGAAGGAGAAGAAAGGATTTTGGTAACAAAGTTATGTGTAAAACAAAAATCCAAAAATAACCTAACCCTACCTTACCTTGTTCCTTTTCTCTGTTTCAGCCCATCACTTTATTGTAGTCACCGCATGCCATGAAGCAACCTACAGCCAGCTGATCCAGCAGTATTGCCTTGGGCAATTTAAGTTGGATATGGAAGCAATAGGGCAGAAACTGTGGTGTGACTGGGATGAGACAGTAGAGTAAGTATCTCGTTGCTGTTCTCTCTGGTCCTTTCTCAGACTTCCTAAGCTACCTGTGAGATCTTATGTTCAGCCTATTTTAGGATTTTGTACTAATCCTATCACTAGAATCTCTGAATCCCATATGTGCAGGTCTGGGTGATTTGGCTGGATCATGCTGCAGTGTGATCCAGCACAGCATTTATAAACTGCACTACATGAGATCCTTGGGTCATTATGTCACAGCATTGAGCGAAAGTGTAACTTAATAGTATTTTATGCTGTTGTTCAGAACAGCACTTCTGAGCTGCCTCATGGGAGACAGCAGAGCACTACAGTATGCTAGCAATTATATTTCGTGATTCTGTGTAATTCATGTCAATACGTTGAACTTTGGAGGCTCATCACTTCAGTGCCATGCAGTGGATGCAGCTCGGGTATCTCTGATCAGACTTAGCACCCCTCATTGAATACTAGCTAAGCAACTTCCAAGAACTAAGTAATAACAATTTGTCAGTTGATTATTTGTTTTTATAGATAGAATAATATAGCTCATGTGTGAGTCTGGAATTAATGTTGGGAAACTTGGTCAGAGGTGGGTTTACACTTAATTCTGAGTTCGATGTCAGTTCTTATTCCATCTGGTAAGTTTATCTTGTTTTGATCAGGGGTGAGTCCTCATTCTGGTGCAATATTTGATCTGTTCCTTTGAGGATTCTGACTCTTGCTTTCTGTTGCTTTTCTAGTATATTGATTTTTGAAAAACAGTCACACAGGGAGAGATGGTCTTGCAAATAGCTAGGACCTATTGCGTGCCTACCTTTGAAAATCAAGATGGCAGCCTCGTACCAGATTCTTGCTCAATCTGGAACCAAGACATAAGGCAGCATATTGGGGTTTTAGTCTTCCTGTGATCTATGTAACTGAGCATGTGGGCTACTGCTTTTTCTACTCACTAGAACTTTCTCATAGCATTTATCATCCCTGACTGTAGGCAGTAGCAATTGCTTGCGGGGTTAAAACTGCGTGGATAGCCATTGCCACACTGGTGGCCAGTGCAATCTCGTAGACAGCTGTGCACAAAATTATTTCTTTTGCCACTATGGTTAACTGGGGGTCTGAATGTGAGAGTAATCCTTATGACTGATAACTAATTTAGCAATCTGAAGGCAGATGCTTTTAGTAATTGTGGTCACAAAAGAGTCATTGGATCTCTTCCCTCTGGCATTGCCTTAGTTTTGTCCCAGCTTAGCTTCAGCTAGGTGCCCTGTCCAAAAGCTGATCCCACCATGAAAAGGGTAAGGTAGGAGAAGCTCCTGTTTGAGGTACCCCGCTGCATGTTTACTCTGTTTTGTTGACCCAGCAGCTCTGGGCTCCCACCAACTCCTTCTAGCTGTTTGCTTACATTGAAGAAGTTTGGAGAGAGGAAGGAACCTTCCAGGAGCAGCCTCACACACAGAAGGACAATTGCGTACAATGAACCATTGAATTTGATTAGAGGGAAAAGTCCTAGGCCATTTTAGGGTATGTCCATTTCCCTTCCTAGATGTGAGACAGGAGAGAGTGGTGAAGAAGTGAATAATGCTGGAGGGACCTATGACGGCAAGAGAAACACCTCTGTTTTCATCCCGTGTGCTCAAATTTTCATGAAGTCTACCATTAATTCAGTTGGAGTTGCTATAGGCCTACAAATTCTATTCACAGATATAGAGGAACAGTGTGATTTTTATGCTGGAGGATTAGAAACATTATTTTTCCTCTGTCAAAGTATCGTTATCAAGTAACATCCTTTAACTTGTCTAAATATGATGTGTTTATGTGTTTAACATTACTGACAATACACTTGGCAAATTTTTAAAACTGCATTAAAGAGAAATCAATGCATTTCTCCAGCAAGTTTTATTTGTTTAGACAGTGAATCTCAAACCATCTACAATATCAGTTTGGAGTCCTTCATAATTCAGCTGTATTAGCATTCCAGAAATTTTTGATAGGGTGATTTATGAAGAAACATATCGTGACATTGCCTAGAACTTCAGTTACATTATTAGCTGACAGAGATTCAAGAGCAAAAAATGGAAATGCACTATTTTCCCAAAATACAAACTGTCAATAGTGCTTGTTAAATAATATTAAATTATATTAAATAATATTTTTAAATGATATTTTATGATTCTTTTAGTAATTAATGGGAGTCATTGGAATATGTTTTATATTACATTTGAGTTTTCTGGTAAGCCTTCTGTTTTATTATCGATGCCAGTAAATCAATTAAAATTTATAAAATAATAGAAACAGATGCCATCTGTTTCACTCCTGGAACATCTTGCTGTGTCCTTTGGTTAATAATAAAATAAACATCTTTAATTCAGGTAGAAATCAATCAATAGAAAGACTAAGAACATTGAGTCTGTACAACATACTTCTTTATTTTACAGTAAATACCAAGAGTTATTTCTTTAGTTTTACTTCTTTACTTTCTCAGAATTTCATAGTATAGTGATGAACAAACCATTGCAGATGAAATGGTTTTGATACATATACAGACTAGCAAGAATTGGAGGAAACTCAATAGCTGGCTATACATATGTGTATACATTTCAAATCTCATATATTTTTCATCTTCTTATCACCTTGACATAAAACAATTTAATTTTGATCATTATTTGGATAATGATAGTTTTTGGAGCACCAGAGCCCCATTGTTCTAGGCACTGGACATGCACATAAAAAAGAAACGGTCTTCATCCCAGTTCTGAACAGCTTGCTATCTAAATAGGCAAGACAGATGAAGCCTAGGAAGGGAGAGGGACTGGGATAGAGAGGAGAGAAGTGAGATGGTCTGTTGTCCATAATCCAGATTTCATGAATTCCAGCTCAGTGCCCTGCCTATTTGGATTATGCTGCTTTTCAGACTTGTTCTCAAATGGACTCCTGAATCAATCTGGAACGTATCCAGACAGGTAAATTAAGCTCCTAAATGTGACTTGGGCAAAATATAGGTGCCTAACACTGTAAATAAACTGTCACTTGATGTGGACCTGACTGTCTCAAGGTTTGACCCAGTTCAAAATAAGCACGTTACAGTCATTTACCCATCACCCTTGCACTGCTGCTCCTCCACCCCAGCTTGGCCAGATGGTACTAGGAAAAAGGCCAATAACCTTCAGAGGTCCACAGCCACATCCCAGGAAAAAGTGTTTTCATATTTTATTCCATATATTTCAGAGGGACTTGAAGTGGGGCAGTGGGCCTGTATGTCTGCAGAATCCTAAGACAAAAGCCTTTCTTCTGGGCCAAATCTATTTATAGCCTAAGGCACAAAAAGCTATTTAGGAAACTTCTGCTTTGGTGGCCTCCAAATCCCTTAGGTGTCTAAATTCATGTAGTGCCCACACGGACTGCAAAGATTTCTAGATGCCTTAAACTTAGGCTTCTGCCTAAGGTTGGTTGAGATCCAGAGTGGAGGTGGGATGGTACCTAAATACACCTCAAAAATCACAGAGGATCAAAATGTTTTTGACACTATGGATTCTTGCTTGAAATCTCTTGAATTTATCTTGTGAATCATGGGTATCTGTCTGCACACTTAACAATACTAACATGGAGTAGCACCCTTAAAAAGATCTCTCAGCATGGCAGGGTGCCACAGCACCCTCATTGAAAATCAGTAGTCTAAGCTCTCTCCATTACAAGTATCTAACTCTTAACATGACATTTGTCTTTAAGACCATTCAGTTTTTCTGTGTTGAGATTCTTGCTCATTGAAGACAAATATATTGTGTAATACATTTTGAACATTTTAAGTATTTTTACATGTTGCAAACAAAACTTGTTAAAGTTTAAAGTAATTTTTTCCTCCCTCACAAAAAATTTTAAGTGTTAGGCTTTTAAAACCTGTTTTGTTTTTAAAGGTTTTTTTTCTTCCCCTTTTATTTTTACTCCCTTTCCCCTTCTTTGGTGGGGAAAATGGGGAAAAAAGCAACAGAAAAAGAAAATACTAAGGATTTTTAGTTTTGGAGTGTCTTCGCCAAAATAACAGAACATTTCAAAACAAAAATTAAATGGTTTTGCAGAGTTTTTAAATTATTATTTATAATAACTTTTATTTTGATCAAAAATAAGTTTAGGACAAAACATTGCAGCCATCTCTAAATTTTCTTAGTGACTTTATGACTTGTCCTATGGGACTGCTCTTTACTGAGGCTTCATTTTTTTCCTTCTAGATAATTTTTACTAGGCTTGTTAAGTCTGAGTCCCTAGCAAACAAATATTGGTCATTTTGAGTGCTTATTTGGATGGCATGAGTCGATTCAGTCAGGATAAGCACAGAATTCAACTTCTTTAAGTGCTCAGCAGTTGACAGGGTTATTTAATTCCTAAATCAAGAGAATCCTTAAGTCCTCACGTGCACTTGGAGGCTCTGAGCAAATCAGAGTTAAAAGCTTAGTTATTGATCTAAAGAAATTGTTCTGCAAGAAATTGATGCTACAACTGGGACACCGATTTCAGAGTACGTGCTTCCTGAGCATACCTCAGTCTATGCATGATGGGCGTATTGTACCATGGCAGGTGCTTGTTAATACCTCAGTCTTCCAATTTCCCGGGTTTGCTACAGGTCAGCATCAGAGACTGGAAGTGGCAAAGAGAGTTGATATACATGAGTGAAGAAAAGAGTGGGCTGCTGGAGGTGGGGGAACCAGTGGAGAAGTGAGGGAAGTCATATAGTGGTAGGACTGGTGAAAGGAGAGGGGGACAAAAAAGTCAGGGCAGGGGCATCACCTAGCTGAGGAGATGAGATTTGTGAAACCTCTCTGTAGAAGCAGCTGCTAAGTCAGGCTAAGGGTACTTAGGACAGTGGAGGAAACTGCAGAGAAAGCGAGGAGCTCTTAACACAAACCAATATTGGCAAAGGTGAAATGATAGCACAAGCTAAGCAAATGTTCATGTTATGGCTGGGGGGACTGACAGACTGTATTCCACAAATTTTCCTGGGCTGTACTTCTCAAGAAGGGCATTGT